TTGTAACAACACAGTCTATGACACTGCTGGGTATTTATTTTATTTTCACCCAATTCATAATATATATAAACCTGGATCAGTGTCGGGATTCTCATATCTTTTATATTCAAAAGTTTTTTTTATTATTTTCAACAAAAGTAAACCATTTCTTCTACATTTTGTACTTTGCCGAGTGCTTCACTAAAACTTTCGCCCTCAGCACAGGATCTTGAATAGTCATTTCTCAGATATAAATGTTGCTGCACCTTTAAGGAGTGTGTGGACCCCCAACAATGAACTTCTCTCATTTGCTCCCTTTTGATCTGTTAAAGATCCAATTGAAAGTCTTTTATTAGAGATGTTTGATAAGTGTTGATCCTGCCAGAAATCCATTGAGCTGATAACTTCCTGTGCTCTCCGCCTCTCCGCCTCTGTTGACTGCTATCAGTTAGCATTGCCTGTGGACTACAGCTCACCTCCCTTCGGTGTTAAAGAAATAAAGAGGAGGGAAGATGAACTCTCTGTATCCCAAGGGCCGAACATTTCATACTCAGCTAATGTGCGCCGTGTGTAATGATCACATCTGGCGAATGTTGTGTGTCGCAGTTGTATATTATTACCATCCCAACAATTGCAATTTGTGATCTCTCCGAGAAAAGATCGACTGAAGCTCGGTTTTCTTTTACAGAGACCTGTAATAGCAATGGTCTCTAGCAGTCTCATGTAATGTCTCTCCAGTCTATATCAGTCTCCCTAAGCATATACCCAGTCCCTGACCATCTCCTGTACCATGTCTGTAGTCTCTGACCATCTCCTGTATCATGTCTGCAGTCTCTGACCATCTCCTGTATCATGTCTGCAGTCTTTGACCATCTCCTGTATCATGTCTGCAGTCTCTGACCATCTCCTGCATCATGTCTGCAGTCTCTGACCACCTCCTGCATCATGTCTGCAGTCTCTGACCATTTCCTGTATCATGTCTGCAGTCTCTGACCATCTCCTGTATCATGTCTGCAGTCTCTGACCATGTCCTGTATCGTGTCTGCAGTCTCTGACCATCTCCTGTATCGTGTCTGCTGCCTCTGACCATCTCCTGTATCATGTCTGCAGTCTCTGACCAGCTCCTGTATCGTGTCTTCAGTCTCTGACCATCTCCTGTATCATATCTGCAGTCTCTGACCAGCTCCTGTAGCATGTCTGCAGTCTCTGGCCATCTCCTGTATCATGTCTGCAGTCTCTAATCGTCTGCTGTAGTATGGCTGAAGCCTCTGACCATATCTTTTAGTATGGCTGCAGTCTCTGACCATCTGCTGTAAAATGTCTGAAGTCTCTGACCATCTTTTAGTATGTCTGCAGTCTCTGACCCCAGAACGTGCAGTATGGGGGACCCCGAAGCCAGGCATATTGTTCAGGCACAGTCTGTCCATTATGTCAGGTCAGTTCTGTTTCCTGTAACAATGGAAGTGATCTATTAAGAGGAATGTGATTCCATGCCGAAAGTTCTTTTCAGCATCACAATATTTACTTCCGTCTATTGTGTCCGTCCAGTAAACACACGAGCCGCACAGGACTAAAAATACAGACACAAGGCCGTTTCTGGGCCTGGGCTGTCACCGCCGGTCCTTTGTGTCCCCGGTGCATTCCTAAGCGTCTTCCTGAACGGAGCGTTCCAGGAATTTTTTAGGGGCCTCATCATATGAAGTTTTCTCATAGTTTTCAGAGTACAATTCCCCATATGAAACATTTTCCTGAATTCCCAGAAGTCTTTGCTGTGAGATCCGTGAACCTATGGATAACATACATGCCAACTGTCCTGGATTTATTGGGACAGTCCGGCATCTTGGCCCCCTGTCCCGACAATGCTGAGTCCAGGGCCATGTCCAGGGATTACAGCATCAACATGGAATTACTACACATGCACAGTAACTCAAGGTATTAATTGCAGGGATCCAGAGAGGTCTTTATCTTTCCTCCTGGGCGGATGCCTTTGTGGAGAAGGGTTTTTATCTGGTGGGCCCTGCCTCAACCGAGGACCTGTGCTGAAGGCCTAGTAACTTAAAAAGGCATTAATTGTGGGGATCCAGAAAGGTGTTTATCTTTCCTCCTGAGCCTCCAGCTGATGTGGATGCCATTGTAAAGAAGGGGCTTTCTCTGGTGGGCCCTGCCTATGCCAAGGACCCTGCCTCAGCCGAGGACCTGTGCTGAAGGCCTAATACGATAAGGTATTTATTGCAGAGATCCAGAAAAGTCTTTATCTTTCCTCCTGGGCTTCTGTCTGATGTGGATGCCATTGTGAGAAAGGGTCTTTCTCTGGTGGGCCCTGCCCCCACCAAGGCCCTGTACTGAAATCTCCTGTATCATGTCTGCAGTCTCTGACCATGTCCTGTATCGTGTCTGCAGTCTCTGACCATCTCCTGTATCGTGTCTGCTGCCTCTGACCATCTCCTGTATCATGTCTGCAGTCTCTGACCAGCTCCTGTATCGTGTCTTCAGTCTCTGACCATCTCCTGTATCATATCTGCAGTCTCTGACCAGCTCCTGTAGCATGTCTGCAGTCTCTGGCCATCTCCTGTATCATGTCTGCAGTCTCTAATCGTCTGCTGTAGTATGGCTGAAGCCTCTGACCATATCTTTTAGTATGGCTGCAGTCTCTGACCATCTGCTGTAAAATGTCTGAAGTCTCTGACCATCTTTTAGTATGTCTGCAGTCTCTGACCCCAGAACGTGCAGTATGGGGGACCCCGAAGCCAGGCATATTGTTCAGGCACAGTCTGTCCATTATGTCAGGTCAGTTCTGTTTCCTGTAACAATGGAAGTGATCTATTAAGAGGAATGTGATTCCATGCCGAAAGTTCTTTTCAGCATCACAATATTTACTTCCGTCTATTGTGTCCGTCCAGTAAACACACGAGCCGCACAGGACTAAAAATACAGACACAAGGCCGTTTCTGGGCCTGGGCTGTCACCGCCGGTCCTTTGTGTCCCCGGTGCATTCCTAAGCGTCTTCCTGAACGGAGCGTTCCAGGAATTTTTTAGGGGCCTCATCATATGAAGTTTTCTCATAGTTTTCAGAGTACAATTCCCCATATGAAACATTTTCCTGAATTCCCAGAAGTCTTTGCTGTGAGATCCGTGAACCTATGGATAACATACATGCCAACTGTCCTGGATTTATTGGGACAGTCCGGCATCTTGGCCCCCTGTCCCGACAATGCTGAGTCCAGGGCCATGTCCAGGGATTACAGCATCAACATGGAATTACTACACATGCACAGTAACTCAAGGTATTAATTGCAGGGATCCAGAGAGGTCTTTATCTTTCCTCCTGGGCGGATGCCTTTGTGGAGAAGGGTTTTTATCTGGTGGGCCCTGCCTCAACCGAGGACCTGTGCTGAAGGCCTAGTAACTTAAAAAGGCATTAATTGTGGGGATCCAGAAAGGTGTTTATCTTTCCTCCTGAGCCTCCAGCTGATGTGGATGCCATTGTAAAGAAGGGGCTTTCTCTGGTGGGCCCTGCCTATGCCAAGGACCCTGCCTCAGCCGAGGACCTGTGCTGAAGGCCTAATACGATAAGGTATTTATTGCAGAGATCCAGAAAAGTCTTTATCTTTCCTCCTGGGCTTCTGTCTGATGTGGATGCCATTGTGAGAAAGGGTCTTTCTCTGGTGGGCCCTGCCCCCACCAAGGCCCTGTACTGAAGGCCTAGTAAGGTATTTATCTTTCCTCTTTGGGCTTCCACCTCATGCGGATGCCATTGTGAAGAAGAGCCTTTCTCTGGTGGGTCTGCCTATGCCAAGGGCCCTGCCTCAACCGAGGACCTGTGCTGAAGGCCTAGTAAGGTATTTATCTTTCCTCTTTGGGCTTCCACCTCATGCGGATGCCATTGTGAAGAAGAGCCTTTCTCTGGTGGGTCTGCCTATGCCAAGGGCCCTGCCTCAACCGAGGACCTGTGCTGAAGGCCTAGTAACGTAAAATGGCATTAATGGTCTTTCCACTTGAGCTTCTGCCTGATGGGGATGCTATTGTAAAGAAGGGGCTTTCTCTGGTGGGCCCTGCCTATGTCAAGGACCCTGCCTCAGCCGAGGACCTGTGCTGAAGGCCTAGTAACGTAAAATGGCATTAATGGTCTTTCCACTTGAGCTTCTGCCTGATGGGGATGCTATTGTAAAGAAGGGGCTTTCTCTGGTGGGCCCTGCCTATGTCAAGGACCCTGCCTCAGCCGAGGACCTGTGCTGAAGGCCTAATACAATAAGGTATTTATTGCAGGGATCCACAAAGGTCTTTATCTTTCCTCTTTGGCTTCTGCCTGATGTGGATGCCATTGTGAAGAAGGGTCTTTCTCTGGTGGGCCTGCCTCAACCGAGGACCTGTACTGAAGGCCTAGTAACTTAAAAAGGCATTAATTGTGGGGTTCCAGAAAGGTCATTATCTTTCATCCTGGGCTTCTTCCTGGTGAGGATGCCATTGTAAAGAAGGGTCTTTCTCTGGTGGCCTGTGCCTCAGTGAAGTACCCTGCCTCAGCGGGGGGCCCTGCCTCAGCAGAGGACCGGTGCTGAAGACCTAGGGAATCTAACCTGCCTTGAAGGGCACACCTTGCAGCAAAAGCAGGATGATAGCTGCTTGTATGGAGCATATTAAGGGAAGTCTTGCAGGGTGATCCCCACATATTTAGAGGCAGAGTCCATGTGTGCCCGTCTTGCAAAGGGCGCATGATTTGGGCATGCCCATCTGGAAAGTGGGCAGATTAAATTTGGACTGTGGGCGGGGTTACAAGTGTCCTGGGATCTGGAAACCATGCTCTGGGCCAATGCTATCACAATGTGTCACATTTTATTGTGAGCGATGATTGCTGATAACTGCCATCTTGATTGATGTGAAGAGTGAATTGTAAAGATTGACCCACTTTTAATTAAGTGTGTTCCCGTCTCTGTGGCCCCTGGAGGGCTGTTAACATTTACTGTTTGGTGCACTGGCCCCATGTTTGGCTCGCACGACATTGAAAAGTTGTTATTCTCTTGCAGGTCCGAAGTCACGCTTGAATGAATTTGCCCCCCGTATTATTGAACATCCTTCGGACACAGTGGTACGTCGGGACCAGCCGGTAACCATGAACTGCCGAGCCGAAGGGAACCCAGAGCCCTCGATCGAATGGTACCACAACGGACTGAAAGTGAACTTCTCGAACTTTCATGGCTCCCTGATCCACGATGGGTCCATATTCTTCTACCAGATTAAAGGAAAATCTAATGAAGGGATTTACGCCTGCCTGGCTCAGAACCTCCTGGGGGTGGCCATCAGCAGGAACGCCTCGCTCACTATAGCTGGTAAGCTATTCTATATTCTGTTGGTTCCTCTTAAACCCAGGACATTGATTATTTCTGCCTGTTACGTGTCTCCAGTAGTTAGTGCGAGTGGTGGCAATGTATGACTTATGAATATTTTCCACCCTTGTTGAGGGAAGATGATAAATATTTTGTGCAAAGTTCCAGAAAGATCTTCATCTTTACTCCTGGGCTTGCTGAGGATGCCATTGTAAAAAAGTGTCTTTCTTGGGTGGACCCTGCCTTAGCCGAGGACCTGTGCTGAAGGCCTAGGGAATCTAAGCTGCCTTGCCGGAGGGCACCTTCAGGAGCAAAACCAGGAGGATTGATGCCTGAATGGAACATCCACTAGGGAAGTCCACTATCCTGAAGTATGTCCTGAGAGCTCAGGAGAAACTGCGGGCGGTGGGCATTGTACCTATGTCAGCTCTCATAGGGTCAAGGGCATAAAGTCTAATCTAAATTTAAGGAACAAGGAAGAATATTTGCCCTTTAACAACAGACAGTGTCACTTCCTATAGATAGGGATGAGCTTCAAGTTCAGGTCGAGCATGAGTTCAACCGATACCCAAGCTGTTTGCAGTTCATTGAATGGGTGAACGATTTGGCCCATTCGCCCTCCAGCTGAACCTCCATTTGTGTCCTAGCAACCTATTACATTGTGGCTGGTTGACTGGTGGCTGAGCCTCACAGCATCATTGGTTGCTAGGACGCAGGTTCAATTACATTGTGGGGCCACCAGCATCTTAGCAACCAATGATGCAACCAACCCAGGGCCGACTTTAATATTGACTGGACCCTGGGCAGAGATTATCTTGGCCCCCCCTACCCAGCTCCCCCGATGAAGATAGTAGACGTCAGAGGGAGACGTGACCCCACGTGAGACATCAGGCGCTCATGCAACGTGGTGTACGGCAGGGGCGGAGCAACATTATGCAATGCCGATCGCATAGTAGACAGAACGGTGCCTCGTGTTCATTTTTTGCGGGCTTAAGGGACAGCTGTTTTGGACCCCCACAAAACTGACTGGGCTCAGGGCAACTGCCCCTTTTGCCCTGCGTTAAAGACAGCTCTGATTACCAACCCCTAGTACATGACACAGTAAAGACGCAGGAGTCAGTGGGAGGAGCCACCCGTGTCAGACAGCAGTGGCACCGGAGCGCTACAAAAAGCCTGCCATGAACATGATGATCCATCGTCTTCTCTTGCAGGTTACTTGTAGTTTTATCCAGTTGCGTTAGCGAGAAGGTTATGGGTTCAGTGCCTGTGACGTTCATCCTATAGCTTTACTGGTTTGGGAATCACTGACCTGGAACAAGCATGCAGCCAGCAAAGTCAGACCTGACAGGCATGCTTGTTTGGGATCAGTGACTCACTAAATAGTTTTAAATAATTTTCGGTCCGTTCCCGTGCATTGGATTTCTATTCAAAATGATTGGACGCCACAATGCGCTCTTCTCCTCTGCGCTCTCAGATGATGACGGAGCCGGTTCCTCCCTTCCAAATGAATGAATTATTTATGAACAGCGACCCCCCGGGGGGCAGGGACTATGGGAATCTCGTGGGAGCCAAAGAGGAAGCGATGAAAACTTGACAACCAATGAAAGGCTCCGGCTGCCACGTCTGACAGGAATTAATTACACCGCTAATTACTCTCTTCATTAACGATTGTTCTCCATATTGCTCGGAATATACATTGAGATCCCTGAAAAGCCTCAGTGCAACTTTGTGTCCCGTATAATCCCTCCGCCTGCAGCGTCAGTGCCCCCGGACGGGTAAAGGGTTAAAATGTCTTTGTACTGTGCTGGGAATCTCACCATTTTAAGCAGATCCGGGAAATCCGTATACAAGACCCGGAGCTGGATTACAGAGCAAGCCGGGCCTTATAATGACAGCCAATCAAGTGATGTGTCTTATGTAGATACAATTAAAAAACAAATACAATCTGAGTTATTGTTGTCAAGTTTACAGTATACTGTGCAGTGCAAGCCGAACAGCTGCCGAGATTAAATCATATACAAGATAAGGCAGCCAGTACAAAGACTGGACAGTCTGACCTGGAATGATCCTTAGCCATACACAGGGCCGGATTTCCCACAAGGCCAACCAAAACCCGGCCTTGGGGCAGCAGGGAGTAGAGGGGCAGCACCGGCACCGGGCGGGTAGTTGTTTTCTACATTTAGCCCGGCTTTGGGCAAGCAGAGCTGAATGCACAGCAGCGGGGGAAGCAGTTGCTTTATTTATACAAGTGATCTCGGCAATGTCACGGAGATCACTTGTATGCAGCCCTGCAGGTCTGCCATTCTCCATGGGGGAGGGGGGGGGTTGGCGGGTAGAGTGGCACATTGAGGAACCTGGCCTTGGGGCCGCAGAGAGAGTAAATACGGCCCTGAGTGCA